TGTCACAATGGTTTGACCCGCTCTGTTGACTCTCAAATCAATTCTTTTTCTCTTTCTTTTTCTTTTTCTTTTTTTTTTACTGTACATTTTACCAATTACTTTACCTTTTTTTTTGTATAATAATAATAAAGGAATGAATACGTACTACATTTAATGCCTTTCTAAAAAGTAAATTAGAAAATTATTATTATTATTATTATTTTCTAAAAATAGTTATTTTAAATGTAATAGTTCATGCCCAAATGGTATCGATCAAACATCAAGCAATACATCAGTGAGGAAGTTGAGCCCCATAGGAGTAGACACAATTCGTTGTGCCAACAAGGACGCTGACCCCAAAAGTGGGTAAATCAGGGGATCTCACATCGATGGGAGAAGGGACTAAGTGCCAACGAGAACAATGGGTCCTGAAGAAGGTAGATTATGAGATCTCACATTAGTTGAGGAGGAGAACGAAACATTTTTTATAGGGGTGTGGAAACCTCTCCCTATCATATGCATTTTAAAAACATTAAATAAAAATCCAAAAATAACAATATCTACTAACGATAGATTTGGACTATTAGATTAAAGTTTTCCTTATTCAACCTAATCTTTATTAAAAAATTATTAAAAATTAATATATTTATTTTATAAACAATAAATAAATAAATAAATATATATATATATACATATATATATTAACCTAATATCTAAAAGTTTAATTTTTAATATTACCCCTATGGATAATGATTAAATAAAATCTATTTAAATATTACAATTAGAATCATTTTTTTTAGTATAGTAAAAAAAAACCATATATATATTAAAAATATATTTATATTAAGCAAAAACAGAGCATATAATTTGTCCCCGCTCTATTTATCTGGGAGAAAAATGTTCTCAGCTCCCTCCCGCATTCTTCGTCCAAATGGGAAATTTCCTCTTAAGAGTAGATAGATACTTCAAAGCATAACATCCTCTTAAGAGTAGATAGATACTTCAAAGCATAACACTCATTAAGGAAGACGCTTACCATTCTTTTAAAAAGTTAATGATTCTAACGTAGTTAAATTACTCGAAAGATTCGTAGAAGAAATGTCATCTTATTATCATTATTTTCTATTTCTTTTAGTTGAAAGGTTAGCTTAATTAAGATGTTAATCACAGCTTTTGAGATTAAAGTTAGACAAATTTTATGAAAAAACGTGTAATTTACAAATTAGCAAAGCACATGGCATTTATTTGAAAATCTTGAAAGTACAGAGGCTTGATCTGCAAAACAGACAAAATTCAATTCCTCCTATCCTTATCCTTCCTCTTTGTTTTTATTCCAGATTCCAGTCTTTGACCAAACATTATATTTAAAATTGGTCATGTTCATTCCATTTCATACACAATATCCCATGCAACATCAATATTATTACCACAAAAATATCAATTCTGAATCAAAAACAAGACAAAAAAATACAGACACCATTCAAAATAGAGATACTCATTCAAGCACATTGGATTCAGAATGTGAAATGAGCAGCAGCCCCCACCTACATAATTTGATCCAACACTTCTTCCACGGTCCAAGGCATAAGTCCAGTTAGATAGAGAGTCATGATTTTGTTTTTTTTTTTTTTTTTCTTTTTTGCAGTAATCTTTACTAACCAAATCTGGATTTCACAACACTTCCCTCAACCTCACCTGCTCCTTCCAAAAAAAAAAAGACCAAAAGAATTGCAGATGGGAAGCCATTAGAGGGAGGGAGGAAGGGATGATGGTTCTTGCCTGGATGGCCGTTCCCAAAAAAAATGTCCAAAAGGGTTCAACTTCCCTTCAACCTTCAGATTTTCGATCGCCCGAGGAGTTGAAAGGCTGCTACCCATTCGCGTTTAGTCGATTCAGGTACCTTCTCGTTGTTAATAAACGGCGTCCAGGCCTCCTGAGAAGGGTCTGTGAGAACCCACTCGACCTTTTCAGGCACATTGAAGAAATCGAAGTTTAAAGGAGCAGATTTAGCATTGCTTGAAGATTTCTTGCTCTTTGGTTCTTCGGAGCCATCAGCAGACTGCAGAGTTGCAAAGCAGTAAAAGTGAAAAATTGATGAGAAGATCTGAATATCTATTTGGTGCTAAAGAAGGAGTGTTAGCTTTCGACTCACATTGCCGTCTAAAGATTTCTTCCGTTTCCTTAACGTTCCTGTTTCGAGAAAGTAAAGAACTTCAATCTTAGACCGGAAGCGACGACCTGATTTTGGGTCAAAGTAGTACTGCAAGGGACATGGGGATATTAGATTTTTCTCAACATTCTTTGCTGTTTGTTTGTTCAATAAACATTTAAAACGGAATAAAAGGAAAGGGGAACCTCAAGTAATAAATGGGGCCCAAGCATGCTCACAATTAATTCAGCACGACATGACAAAAACAAAAGGAAAAAAGAGAAAGGAACTCAATTCATAAGCAAATTTCCATACGAACTCTTTCTCAATAATTAAATGCTAGATGGTACTTGTGACCGTACTTGATTGCTTGCACTTGTTTTGTCTATCAGCAATGTGAATATGGTTTTAAACAAAGCTACTCATGAATACAAAACTAAGGTAGAACCCATCTCAAACATGACAATTAGTGAAGCATCATATGCCAAGCACAAAGCACCAGCCACATATCCTATGAGGTGCACGATTCCAGCAAGAGCATTTGAAATCTACAAATATCGAGTCCAAAGCTATTCACCAAAACGCAAGGAGAGATCAAATGATCAACATTATTCTACAAATTCGACCCAGACCATTTATGAACTGGTTATCAACACAGCAGTGGAGGTTTGTGTAAAGCTTTTTCCAATGGTCTCCATCCTAACAACCAAACTCTGCTATGCTAATTGAATTCATATAAGTGCAAAGTTAGCTAGAATACTAAAATCCAAAGAAGCACCTAATCTATATCAAAGTTTGTCGAGTCTTGTTCACTATCCAGAGAAAAGTACCAAGAAAGTTTGTTCTAAGTAACTGTGAGACAGAATTGCTTGGATTGTCAAATAAGCTGATTCAAAAGCAAGGACATGAACATAATTAAATGCCATACCAAATAGGGGACAAAAAAACTCCAACAAATCTACGGAAGACCCCTGACCATGTTGATGAAATGAATCCCTTTAGTTTACTTGCTCCTATTGAACTTTTTAATCACCAAATAGGTAACAAAAACTGCAATATCCATCAATATAACAGAGTTTAGCTAGTGATCCATTTTTCAGATGATCACCCATCCAGAATGTTACTAAATCCTTTACTACTTGATATAACTCTTTCTTTCCAGAATTGATAGGAGAGCAACTGAGAAGGAATGGTACAACCAACCCTTTAAGGCAAAAACAAAAGATCATTTTCGGTAATCAATGAGCATTTCTTCTGATTGGTTCATGTTCTTATCCGAGGTTTCCAACGCAGTAGGAGTAAACGTCACAGTATCACAAAAAATCATCCATTACTGGTTGAAAATTCTAAACCGATTGTCAAACAGGTAGAGTAGAAAGAAAAAATAATAATAATAAAAGACAGTAAGACCCTGTTCTATCGTCAAACATAAAATTGCAGAGAAAAAGGTCAGTAGCCAGAGGCATAGACTAATACTTGCATGGTCGATTAATTACCAAAAAATATTCCTCAGAACCACCAGACAAGAGAATGAACTAAGAAATGAACATTCGTAAAGGATTGAAGGCATAAGAGAAGGAACCAATTCACCTTATCAACCGTTCCAGCTGTAGCACCGGAGGCGCGAACTCTATCTTCCACCACCCAGCCAGGTGGTAGCCAATTAGGCCTTTCCGATAAGGCGGATTTGGGGGAGGCGTCGGTTCCTCTGGAGGCGGACACCTTCTTGGGTGCCGAAGAATCTCCATTTCCTGGAGTAGGAGAATCGGGAGGAAGCTTCTTAGGGTTGAGAGGGTCAGCAGGCAATGGAGATCGGAGAGTGGCGGAGGTGTCAGGCTTGTTGCGATGATTCCCGTCAAGATCTCGGGCGTAGTCGGGAGAAGAAGGTAGGGTTCCGCATCGGGCGGTGGAGGAGTCGATGAAGGAGCCAGAGGAGAGGAGAGGGTCGGGAGGGAAGTGGTGGGGAGAAGGTAAGTCGGGTCGGGTGGAACCTTGACGGGGCCAGTCGGGGTCCGGAAACGAAGTTCCAGAAGCAGACATGTGGGTGGGGGGAGGAAGAAGAGAAGGAGAAGGAGAAGACGGAAAGAAGCGTTAAAACACGGGGGAGATTATTTATTGTCTCCCACTTCACACTCATCAAAAAACCATTACTTTTTCTTCTCCTCTCTCTCCCCCTCTCTTTCTCTCTCTTCTCTCCAATTTCATTGGCTACTCATCATTATGGGCCTGGCCCAACAACGTTTCAAGAACTCTTCATTGGGCCTCGGCCCATTTGATTTTTTCCTTTCCTGCCCTACCTTTGCTTTCCTCTCTAATAGGTGTGATATCTGGGTCTAATGTTCTTGGTTCATCTCTAAAATTGATACGAGGATCTCATAGCATAACCGCTTTGAGGTGATGTACATTTTCTCCCTGTCCAATTATATACAAATTTCTTGCATTGTTTTATTCGACCGTAGCTTCTAAACTTGGTCCTCCTTAAAAACCTAGTGAAGTTGGTCACATGTGTGAGCCATATCACATCAGATCCCTATGTGAGCCACAAAACAAACATCGTCTAACATTAATCATACTTCGAAATCAATATTACAACAATTTTGAGTAAAGAGTAGTTTTGAATTCACGTGATTACGATCCAAAACCTTATAAACTTTATTTAATTAGTCCATATAATTTCATCCAACCTTCTAATAAGAATGAGAAAACCTTTAAATAGGATACAAGCAAAATCATATATTCCAATATGTTCGCATTATTTGAGCCATTTTATTTTGATATTTATGAGTTAGGCATGGGCCAGTAGTGGGCCCACGAGATTCCCGAGGTGCATTACCTCACTCGCCCCCTCCTTTCTCTCTTCTGCACAAAACGATTCAAAAACCTCCACTCATTTCTCCCTCCCTTCGCCAATGGCTAATTCTCTACTTCTCTCTCTCCTTCTTTTCTCTCTCTTCCTCCGCCTCTCCTCCGCCACCTACTCTATCGGTGTCAACTACGGCACCGTCGCCGACAATCTCCCTCCGCCCTCCCAGGTCGCCGCCTTCCTCAAATCCCACACCACCATCGACCGCGTCAAGATCTTTGACGCCAACCCCGATATTCTCCGTGCCTTCGCCGCTACTGGCATCGCCCTCACAGTCTCTGTCGCTAATGGCGACATTCCGGCCCTCGCCAAGCTCCCCGCCGCTCAATCCTGGATTGCCAATAACATTCTCCCGTTTCACCCTAACACTCTCATCAACCACATCGCCGTCGGGAACGAGATCCTCGCCACCTCCGACAAGAATCTCATAGCTCATATGCTCCCCGCGATGAAGGCTTTACATTCCGCTTTAACCCTCGCGAATATTACTGATATTAAGGTTTCGTCTCCTCATTCTTTGGGGATTTTGTCGGCATCGGAGCCGCCGAGTACCGGGCGGTTTCGGAAGGGGTACGATCGAGCCATATTCGCTCCGATCCTCGAGTTTCATCGCAAGACAAAGACGCCGTTCATGGTGAATCCGTATCCATTCTTTGGATTCAGACCGGCGACGTTGGACTACGCGCTGTTCAAGCCGAACGCCGGATTTTTCGACAACACCACCGGAAAACACTACACGAATATGTTCGATGCGCAGATGGACGCGGTTCACGCAGCGATGAACAAGCTCGGGTACGGGGATGTGGACATCGTCGTGGCGGAGACTGGGTGGCCATCCGCCGGTGACCCGAACCAACCCGGCGTGAGCTTGGAAAACGCTATTTCTTACAACCAGAACCTCGTGAAGCACGTGAACTCCGGTAAGGGGACGCCAATGATGCCCAACAGAACTTTTGAAACCTACGTCTTCTCTCTTTTCAACGAGAATCTCAAACCGTCGGTCTCGGAGCGGAACTACGGTCTGTTCAAGCCCGATCTAACTCCGGTCTACGACGTCGGCATCCTCCGAAACTCACCGGTAAACCCCTTCTTCATCTATTTAAATCCCTTAGCCTCTGCCGGAATTATGCCAAACCCGGTGGGCGCATGTTAGTAAATTAACTTATTATCCAGGCACGCCAAATTACTGGTCTGCGGACCAGTGGAAGAAGAGTATTACACGGAAACCCCTCTTCCCATGAGTTCGATAACGCGTGTTGCTCCCTAATTGGTCTCGAAGTATCACCTGTAAATTTGTCGTTTTACTAACCAATAAAAAACTGACGCGTGGGTGTACGAGTTTCTGACAGCAAGTCCATAGTGCGGTCCTGCTGTCTAAGGAGGCAAAACGCCACCTGTCCTAATTTTTTTTCTGACGGAATTACCCTCCATTTTTCTTCCTAATTCCATGGCATTAAAGTAAATACGCTTTTTTCTTTTTCTTTTGCCTTTTTTGGGTGAATTCCCGCACCACATTTATTCCAGATGATATTGGATTGTGACCGTTGATATTGATGTAACAGACAACGGGCCCCACAGCACCGGCAGGGCAGGCGCCGCAGCCGTCGGATGGTGGGAGGAAGTGGTGCGTGCCGAAAACGGACGCGTCAGATGAAGCGTTGCAGAAGAATATTGACTACGTGTGTAGCAGTGGAGTGGACTGTGGGCCCATACAAGCAGGTGGGGCCTGCTACGATCCGAACACAGTGCGGTCACATGCATCCTACGCCATGGACGCCTACTTTCAGTCCTCTGGTCGCCACGATTTCAACTGCGATTTCAATCACACTGGCGTCCTCACTTCCACCGACCCCAGTAAGATACTTCAGTTAATCATATAGTTTTTAATTTAATTATTTATCATTTCAATTCTTACAATAAAATTAATAGATCTTAGGTTAAATTATATTAATAGATTTGTGGTAGTACCTAAGATATTATTTTGAGATCTATTGGATGATAGTGTATAGCTTAGAGACCTGTTATGTAAATATTATTTTGGGATTGTACAGGTTACAAAGCCTGCAGTTACCCGTTGGGTGCCGAAAAGTTAACGGAGAAATCGGTGGCCTCTGCGGCGGCGATGAGACGTAGGATCAGGTTGTTGGGGGCGGTGGCGCGGACATGTATTGCGGTGGTTGCTGGCGGTGTATTATTAATTTGAACCCAAAAAGTGTAATTTATGACCGTTGGAGTTGGGGCTTTTGGAGTTCATAGGAATTTTAGATGTACTAATTAATGCTATTTGTTTTATATTTAATTCTGAATGCTTTTTGTCACTTTTTGACCATCTAATTGAGTTGAATCTTTTTGTAGATTGAATTTTTTTTTTTATCAATGCGACCCATTCTAATTACAATCTATCGCACCCTACTTTTAGAATTCAATACTGGTTAAGAATATTTAATATTAAATTATAGTTTATCATATATATCATATTTGATATTTTATTATAAGGTAAATATCTAGGTATCTTTTCATTGTTATTTCCATTTATTACTCTTTCTATATCCTTATAATTTATTTGATTATAAATAAGACAATTTTCACACTATCGGATTTAGCAAACATTCACAATACTAAGGTGTTATGAATTTCTGTTTATACGAGTTTATCCTTTGTGATTATAGGGGTGATTGGTGAGACTGATAATTGTATTGATTTAATAAGCTTAACATTTTAGGAATTAACCCGAAAACAGAATCTCACAAGATAAAATGCACTTTATGGGACAAGTATATGAGTAGTTTCTTAAATGTTAACTTTCTGATTTGAATAATAAGACTCCACTCCCTCACTCCCTCTCTCTCTCTGGTATGACAGAGAAGGAATAACTGAGTTATATGAAGCAGAAACTTATTTCATGTGCAGTTCAGAGGTCGAGTCCCACCACAAAATGTTTAACCGAATTGAAATTACAAATAACTCGAAAAAAATTGACTTAAATTTCTAATATCATTGACAAAACTCTAAGTAGATACATCAATTTAATCCCAAGAATAAATTTAATTTTTTTTTAATTAATATATTAAATATAAAAAAAGAAATATATAATTAAAATAAATATATACTTAAAATTTAAATGAAATTGACACCGGTGAAATAAATATTTTATCATATTGAAATAAAATAATATATAGTTTGATACATTAGATGTTAAAATATATTATTGGACTAAATGTTTGATTTGATTTGGAAAAAAAAAGAATTGAATTTAATCTTGGAAGATTTCATTCTAAAATTACAAAATCTGCAATTACACTCAATTCTAAAATTACAAAATAATCTCCGACGAAGAAACTCCGATCATCTTCTTCAAAAAGAAGATGGATGAACGACGGCACAAACGCAGCTGCGGCAAAGGGGACAATGGCACTCCACCTTGAGCCACCGGTCAATGCAGCGGCAGTGGAATATATGGCCGCACTTATTCATCATTCGACACTTTTGCCCATCTTCAAATCCGTCCAGGCAAATCGCGCATTCGGCGCCGTGACCTCCGTCGGCTTCCCTGTAACAGAAAACCGAGGCCTCAATCCGTACAATCACCGGCGCTCGCACTTCCGGCAATGCTCCGACTGCCTCATAGCCGGAATCTGATTCGTTGAAGTATCTGGATTTGATGCAATTTAAGACGATGAGGTAGAGTATAATGACGGTACAAACGGCTATCAGAGCTAAATACTCATCCCCCCATGTCAGTCCGGAAGTGTTGACCATCTTGCTAATTGGCGGCGGTGAAGCGGCAGAAGACGGCGGCGATGGCATGATTGTACCTTTTGCAATATTTTTGTTTCAAGTAATTTTAGTTTTATAGATTTACTAATCCATTTTAGGAAATTATCTTTTGAAAAACAAGTTAATTTTTATTATTTTAAATCCTCAACAAAATTAATTTTATATTAATTTAAATTATTTATTGACCAAATTTTTATCATTAATTGGCTTTCAATTCTAACCTGAAAATTCATGTTTTAATGTCATAATTTTGATTTTTTTTTTTGTTTGTGAGATCTCATATCAGTCGGAGAGGTAAACAAATCATTTAATATGGTAAACTATCTCTAGTCGACACGTTTTAAAATTTTAAAGGAAAAATCTAGAGAGAACAACGGTAAGGGAAAGCCTAGAAATGACAATATCGGCTAGTAATAGACTTTAGCCGTTATAAATGATATCAAAGCCAGACACTGAGCGATGTGCTAGTGAGGAGGATGAGACTCAAAGGAGGTGGATACGAGGCGGTGTGCTAGTAAAGACACTGGGTCTTGAAGGGGTGGATTGGGCATCCCACATAGTTGGAGAGGGGAACAAAACATTCATCATAAGAGTGAGTGTAGAAACCTCTCCCGAGCACACGCGTTTTAAAACTCTTAGGGGAAACTCGGAATGGAAAGGTGGATTGGGGGTCCCACATCGGTTGTTGAAAGGAACAAAACAATCTTTCTTAGAGCGAGTGCAGAAATCTTTTCCTAGCAGACACGTTTAAAACTTTGAGGGAAAACTCGAAAGGGAAAGCCAAAGGACAATATCGGTTAGCAGTGGATTTGGACCGTTAAACTTTTAATTACAACATAACATCATAATATTATCCATTATATGAACATATTTTTAATCTTAAACCAAATATGGTTGACACATAGAGTATCGTACTAAAAAAATAACTTAAAAAGCCTAAATTAGATAAAGTCTATTAATATTATTCACTCTTTATAATTACAAATGATTTGATATAAATCAGACACGTGAGTGATGTATCTTATACAATAAATTTGAGATTAGACTATAAAACATTTAATCTTTCTTTATAAATTTATTAGTTAAAAAAATTGATATTTCACATGATAATCATTATCGACTCGATCTTAGTTCTGAGCGAGTTACAAACTTTGGTTAGTGTAACTTGACTTATATAGTAAATGTAGTAAGTCTACCGTACTAACTCGATAGAAAATATAATATAATCTTTCAAGAGGTAATTAATTGGATAAGAAATATATATTTAAAATAAGAATGAGATTTTGAATAAATATTAGTAGATTTATGAGATTTGAAAAAAATAAAATATATTATTTAATTTTCGAAAAAAAAAAAGCACTAATTTGTTTACATTTGAACTAACCCAAAGATAACAAAATAATCTCCGACGAAGAAACTCCGATGATCTTATCATGGATGAACGACTACGCAAACGCAGCTGCGGCAAAGGGGGCAGTGGCGGTCCACCTTGAGCCACCGGTCAATGCAGCGGCGGTGGAATATATGGCCACAGTTATTCATCTTCCGGCACTTTTGGGCATCTTCAAATTCGTCAAGGCAAATCGCACATTCATCGTCGTGACCTCCATCGGCTTCCTTGTAACTGAAAACCGAGGCCTCAACCCGTACAATCTCCGGCTCTCGCACTACCGGCAATGCTCCGGCTGGCTCACTGCCGGATTCTAATTCGGATTTGAAGAAATTTAAGAGGATGAGGTAGAGTATAATGAGGAAACAAATGGCTATCAGAGCCAAATTGTTATTCGTCCATCTCAGTCCGTAAGTCTCCACGATGGCGCTAATTGGCGGCGGTGAAGCGGCAAAAGACGGCGGCAACGGCATGATTATTTGGAACAAAAATTCGCTCATAACATAATGAATGAATAAATGAATGAATGTTATTTATAATACCTTTTCTAATTCCTTTTCGGAATCCTTAATCTCTTCCTAATCTTTTAATATTTTGAAAAATAAGTAAATTTTTATTAATCAACACTCAATTTACCATTTTAACCTTAATTCTATCGATCTCTTTTCATATTGACAACGAAAATGTCAACATATTGACAACGAAAATGTCAAAGTGAGCATAGATTTCAGTTCTTGTATATTTAAATCTTTCATTCTTTTCATCTCTTTTGAGGGAGGGAGAGAAAAGTTAACGATTGTGAGATCCCGCATCGGTTGTAGAGAGGAAATTCAAAGATGCGTTTTAAAATCGAATTAGGCCGTTAGAACAATATAGAAGAAAATTCAAAGAAAACACAAATATTGATATTAGACAGAATTTGAAATAGTCGAATGTTTGATGAATATGAAACCCTAAACCCACAATATATAAGTAGTACGCATTGGTTGAAGCCATAGCAAACCCAAATCCATATGGACTTGTAATTTCCATGGCTCACTTGATTACATTATTCCAAAAGAAAAAAAAAAAAAAAAAGAGGAACAAACTTTGTGGGTAGATTCATCAATTTATTGTATTAAGAACCAGAAGCTTTGTTGTTTGGGGCTTATCCATCCCTCCCATTGCTCACTTGCAGTTGCATGGGTCACATGAACAGCTACTCCCACAGCTGCACCCATCCCTGCATAGTTCATTTGTATACAACATTACAAACCTAGAGATAAAAGATCATAAACGATTTCTGTAAACTTTTCGTTCTTCCCGTTTGAAATCTTTTTAATCGATTCAGAAACCAAATTTGACACCGGATGGTCGTGGTATTAGAATTTAAACAAAATATAAATCAATCAAAATCATTATTACTTGTTGAGGATGAAGGCCTCTGTGATAGACCTGCAAAGATTGGAAAAATGGGTTAATAAATGAAGCGACTTGTAAGTAGAAGGTGGAGAAAAAGAAGATATATAGATAGATACCCAGATTGGCAGTTGCAGCTATCTCCACAGGAGCAACTGTCACCACATTTGCACCCAGAAGCCATTTTGTTTCTCAAAAAGCTAAGATTTTTGGATTTGTTTGTGTTGGGGATGATGATTCAGGGCTCCCTCTCTGCTACTTATACACATTTTGATCTAGATTTCATCACCAACCAATTTGTTTTCATTTGGATGATCAAATAAATAATCCACCCTTTTTGTTCTTAATACACATTCAAGTTGAATGAATGTTGATACATCCTAGGAAGATAGCATGAAATAATACGCCTCTACCACATAAATTTCAACATTGGAATCTAAGATGAAGGTTCAAATGAAGATCGTCACCCACGAAGAACACGAAAAGTTATACTTTTACGACCTCCTACTCAACTAGGCCGCATAAATAGTCTCTAAAGTTGTATCAGCTGTAGCAAAAATGGAACGAAATGGTAGAGTTCAAACATATTAATCAACAATAATTTCATCTATGTTAAGCCTATAAGATGTTTCGCCGTTCACAAGGCTCTTAAGACCTGCTTTAAGCTCTGCAACACCCTCTTCCAAAACGGCACACACGGGAAAGATTGGAACTCCTTGCACTCTTGACTTTAATTCCTCGTAGACTTGCTCGGTCCCTTCTTCGTCGATCTTGTTAGCCACTACTAAGGATGGACGATCTGATAACCCCTTTTGATGGTGTTCAAGCTCTGCTACTAAATCTCTCAGCTGCTCCCATGGGGGTATCCCTTTTCTACCATCTAAACCAGCAGCCAAGTCTAGAACGTATGCTAGAACCCTCGTGCGTTCGATGTGACGCAAGAATGAATGTCCAAGTCCACGGTTTTCGTGGGCACCTTTTATAAGTCCGGGAATATCAGCTACTGTGATTGATAAGTCGTCGTAATTTAAGTTCCCCAAATTTGGTCTCAGAGTAGTAAATGCATAATGACCAACTATTGGCTTTGCTCGAGAAATGGCTCCTAGAAGAGTACTTTTTCCAGCATTTGGCATCCCGACGAAGCCAACATCGGCAATGCTTTTAAGTTCTAAAACAAGCACGGTCTCAGTCCCGGGTGAACCAATTCGCTCTCTGGACTCGTTGATTTCAGATTCATCAGAGTTTATGAACTCGTCCTCTTGCCTCACAGCCATTGAGCCTTTAGGCTTCTTTGAAAATTTGAGAGCATGAACATTACCCAAACCACCTTCCCCTCCACGAGCAATGATTATTTGTTGTCCTACTTCAGTCAATTCTGCAACATTGTATCTCATTTCTTCACTTTCTGTAGTATCATCATCATCGATTGAACTTTCGAGTTCGTCGGGAGGTGCAAGAACTTGGGAAATCTCATTGGTTGATGCAACTTCCGAGGTTTCCCTCCTGAATGACGAACTTTTAGCATTATCGTTACCATTATTACACGATGAGAGAGTATTGGTGAAGGTCGATTCAACTTCCTCTCCTCTATTTGAATATCCAAGAGACTTCTGGGAGGAACTACTAGAGAGATCATCAACTAGTGCGCCTGGAATCTGCCAGGGGTCTAAATCTGTTGGCGAATGATGTTCGACTACACTAGAAACATCACCCTCCACAAGATGAATGACAGTGCCAATAGGTACTTGAACAATCTATCATCAAATATAATAGATAGATGAGAAAAACATAGACAATAGGACAAAATTCAGTAGCATGTGTAAACCTACCCTGTTTTTAAAGCAATACATATGTAACGGCCCAAGCCCATCGCTAGCAGATATTGTCCTCTTTGGGCTTTTTCGGGCTTCCCCTCAAGGCTTTAAAACGCGTCTGCCAGGGAAAGGTTTCCACACCCTTATAAAAGGTGTTTCGTTCTCCTCCCCTCAACCAATGTGGTATAACACAACATCAAATTCTTTTATAAACTATGCCACTCTAATTTGTCCAACATTTCACTTCTTTCTACCCTTTCTCTACTACATTGTGTCAGATCTGCTAACATTTGTTCAATAAAGATGTCATATGATTACTTAATTCATAATCAGAGCAATTTAAACTTACTTAAATGTATAGATTAAGTGGAAAATTAAGAGACAACAAAAGGCAGCAAAGTCGCGCACAACAGATCGGGAAGGGATAGATGACCTTATCTGCACCCCTGGTTCCAATCATATTTTTTGAAGATCCATGTCCTCCTCTACCTGCATTCTGCAAGAGATGATAGGAATATTGATTGATATTGTAATTCAATAACTCTAAAGGTGGTTTATCATTCATTTCCGAGTTGTTTCTAGCATGAGTATAAGAGTCGAACATACGATATGATGCTTCAAACTGCTGAAGTCCCAGAGAGCAGCGGAACATTCAAGAATGACATTGCCCCCCCTTCCACCATTTCCACCTGCATCAATTAGAAAGGAAGCATCGTGGTAGAGTCAAGCAACTATCTCATGACAAGGGGAACAGTTCCTAATTATACACGCCAAGAGGACCGTTCGATCTTCCTTACTTGACTATCATTCTAATATGATATTAACAGAAACATAAAGAAAGAGCAGCATAAAATGTGATGCTTAAAGCTGCTGAATCCAAGACTGCATAATATCTGACTGTTTAATCTTTTCCTCTAAAAAAACATCAACTTTTCATTTATCAACAAATTAGATCATTGAAACTCGAATCATAGTAATGATTAGATGACAAGTGTAAACTAAGAGATTAAATAATTACATAAAGCCTACCATCAGGTTGGCCGTGGCGATCCTGCCTACTACGGCGAGTGCTATGGCATCCATTTCCACCATCACCTCCTTTGGCATACATCATAAACCTGTCTATCATTCTCCTCTCCTGTGGAACCCAATAAATCCAAACATGAGTAGAAGAATTTGCATTGAAAAAAGTAATGAAAAAATGGAAGAGAAGTAAAGAAAAACCTGTAAAGGGGCAAGTTTAGACTTCTTTGAGGGAGTATCTGAGTAATAGGAAATGGCAGAAAAAAGCCATGGAAAACTTGAGGATTCTCTCAAGCCTCTCAAATATAGAACTTGTTTTACGCACAAAAACCTCATCGTTCTCACGCACAAAAACCTCATCGTTCTCCCTTCTCTCGCGCCTCAAACATCATCCATGCTTTGGAAAGTTGTAAAGCTTGAACTAGAATAAAGAGGTCTACAAAATTTAAATATCAATCAATTGAAGCAAGAACAATTATGATTTCGATAAGGGGTGCGAGGTCAACTCCAATTGAAAAGATTCCATGGCAAGCTTCAGTAAAAAGTAATAATATATAAATAAATAACTTAAGATATAAAACCTACTAGTCTTTGTACATTAGCAGGAAAACAAAAGTATACACAGATGGCTAGTTATGACTATTTTGCAACCAGAAAAATGGACAATGACTTTCTGTGAGATCCCACATCGGTTGGGGAGGAGAACGAAACACTCTTTATAAGGGTGTGGAAACCTCTCCCTAGCAGACGCGTCTTAAAAACCTTAAGGGAAAGCCCAAAGAGGACAATATCTACTAGCAGTGGGCTTGGACCGTTACACTTTCGCCAATCCAGCAGCATCAACAAGAAATGATCCGGAGTTCCCAAGAAGTAATATAACGACGAAAAACATAGAACAGGAATTTGGTAAAACCATATAAGTTTCCCCAAGTGGGCCAGCCATCCAAAGTCATGTACCGGACAGAAACGCTCTTGTCAGTCATCCAAACGACATACAACATACATCATAAGATCATACTTCTCACCATGAGGAACCAAGTAATATGCGTGATGCTCACTTATCAAAATTATATCATGCATGATGCTCATATTATACATGCTCAACTTCTATCTCAAGACAATATTGAATCCTTAAAACTTTTTATAGCTCTCTCAAGCCCTTCCCAAGCTCTTACCAATCTTTCCCACATCTTCGAGATGCATCAATCCTTGACTATTTATACTTGGGGCCTCAACACTTTTATGAAACTCGACATTCAGATCCTTGATCATTAATACCCAAAGCCTCAAACTGTGCATTGATCATTGACCATTTATGTCCAGACTCCACAAGACTCATCACACCAATCCTTGACCATTTATACCTCACTATTTATACACATGGTCTCAACACTTCTCTATAGAAATTGACGTTCGACCCTAGACCATTAATACCCAAAGCCTTGAACTGTGCATCAACCCTTGACCATTTATTCCCAAGGCCCCAATACTTACCTTAAGACTCATCACTGACCCTTGATCATTTATACTTGTGCATCGACCCTCAATCATTTATACCCAAAGCCTTGACGCCAAAAAGCGACATACCTAACCTCCATTCATACTCGAGGCATTGATATTCACTTTAATTTCCTTAAAATAATATCAACCCTTGACCATCTACACCCGAGATCCTTATATTCTCCTCGCTTTCCTGGATTGCAAACTCAAATATACGCAACTTAACAATCAGTCTCTAAACAACCCAGATATGCACATCTTATACATGCTTGCTAGACCATGCCTCCAGCCTAATAACCACATGAACATGCTTTTAACGCAGGGATGTACATGCTTAATCAACACAAAACAATTACTTAATGAGCTTAACACATCAAAACATACAATCGGGTTCAACATAACATTAAATAAAAACACACATATCAAACAAGTATAACAAAGCATCCAGCATACATAGCATACAAGGTATACAAACTCCACAAGAAGAAACTACTTACAACACATTTTAAATCGCTTCTAAGCTATTCTATCAATTCTTGAAACAAGAAAGACAAAGTTCCAAGGTTACAACTCAGTTCAGAAACCATAATCGAAATTGAAGGACGTTCGTGAGAGATTAAACTTAATTCGAACAGTCCAAATCTAAACATTGAAGGAATCCAAAAAGAGTTTAGAGCGAGCCATTTCCAACTAATCCTTACCGTAAAGCTTGAGTCTTTGCAGGATTGAGTTCGAATGAGTTCAATTTTGTAGATTTGAACCCTAAAGGCTATGGGTGTTCTATCCAGGGGGTCGTTCGGGTTATGGGTCACTATCTCCTAGCTCAAATTTTGTCGCTAGGAGGAGATCACGCAGCTATTCGCCGTCGGTGCTACCGTTGTGAATCACCGGAGATAGAGAACGGGGCGCTGCCGCCGACAGATGCACCGCAGGTGATTCGCGTCTCCGTTTGGAGTATCAGTCGCTGGAAGAGGAAACGCGCAGGGTCGTCGTTCCCCGCCGCTCGTGGTCGCAGCAGGGCGATTCGTGAGTGGGTCGCGCGCAGTAGGACGCCGTCAACTAAGATGACTAGTGGGTAGCTTCTCGACGCTTCTCGACGAGTACGGCCGCTAAGGGATTGGCGCGCGGCTGGGTACTAGGGAGGAAAAAGAGTGACAATTTCGTTTTTTTAGCCTAAATTAATAAAAATAAATTAGAATTTTGTATTTTTTTAATTAAAAAAATTTATTAGCATATCATCGATGAAGTTCTTTTTCTCTGTCAAGTGTTTTAATCTCTTACGAGTCGTAGGAAGAAACTCATTTTACCAAAGATAATATTTTCAGAATTAAGTGAAAAAAATGTAATCAACAAAATAGAAACTTAATCGATTATAAAATTATAAACTCAAACCATAAATTAATTAATCTTAAAATATTAATCTTTTCAATTAACCGAGATGGTTTATATATATATATATATATATATAAAAGAGTGCGTAACCGTTGGCGGAAAGCAGAAGCAGGGTATAAGAGGAATATTGAATACGACAAGCTACATCCGCATCATCCTTCATCCTCCTTCTCCACACTCTTTCACTCCCCCTTCCGCCCACTTACCTAACCCATAAACTCCGCCCATTAGGATTCCGGCCACCCATTCTCTCTCTCTCTCTCTCTCCCCCCCCCCCCCCCCCCCCCCCCCCCCCCCCCCCCCCCCCCCCCCCCCCCCCCCCCCCCCCCCCCCCCCCCCCCCCCCCCCCCCCCCCCCCCCCCCCCCCCCCCCCCCCCCCCCCCCCCCCCCCC